TCCCAAAGACAGCAATTTGAAAGTCATTTAGAGCTATGAAAATATAAGACCTTATGATTATACACACCCTGCCACACTCAGGGGTGTGTGTGTGTGTGTGTGTTGGAGGGTGGGGACCATGCAACAAACTAAATAGAAGAAATCAAGAAACTGCATTCTTTAGGGCATCGGTCATTATGAGATCCTTGAGTGTCATGCCTCCATTTGCTAGGAAAAAAACATTTGTTAGGTTGACAGTCGTTCCATTTTGGTTTTATTAGCTATATAGTAATTGATATGAATAAAAGATAGTTTTAGTAGCAATAGTTACATTTAGTGACATAATAAATTTTATGTCATTGGTAGTCCACATATTTTTCAAAAGGATTTACCAATTGAAAATAAAGAATACAAATGTAGATAAGGTTGGTGAAAGAGTAATAAAGAAGAAAAAAGAAGTAGGAACCTGAAATAATAGCAGATAGACATATGCCTCAGTGTCACGCGATTTTATTCTAATTTCTTACACAATGTTCAAATAGCATTAGAGTAGGAGTTGGACATCTTGTTTCTTATCCTAGCTTACCTACCAGGTGGTTTGCACAGTAAGACTTATTTTTATTTCTTAATTTATTATTCTACCTGTGACACTTACTCATGAGTAAATTATCTAGTTCTCTTTAAATTTCATATGCTAAGGCTTCCCCTGGGAGACCTTCTAACTTGCTTCATTTTAACACCCACTGAAAACTATTTCAGGGAAAGCTGAATTGCTTTAGGTTTCCTTTAAAAAAATAAATATACAACTAGGATTATATTTAAATGCTTCTCTGGAGCCATTTCATCTGTAAATATTTGATGGGGAAAATAATAAATTAATTTCAGGTAGTCTACTATATTTTCTAACTTCATTTTTTACACACATGTATGTGTATGTATACACATATGCATATATATAATTTTATATCTAATGTAAATATTAAAAAGGACCGTGATTATATTCCTGTTATTAATACCCCCAAAAGGTATCATGATATTTACATATGAAAATAGAAGTAGAAACAGTGTTATAATGACAGGGTCATGAGGTTTGTAGGTTTCAACAACAATAACAGTAATTATCCACGTAGTCCTAAATAAGGAAAAGTTGATCAACAATTAAATTGGATTCTAGTAAAATAACCAGTAATAAACACCATAAATTTAAGAACTATTTATTGGAGAAATATTTGAACTGGAAAAAATTTTATCCTTCAGTCCTCTTGAGAAATCATAAATAATCTAATTAATCAGCTAATTGTACAAGCACATTGAACTGCCCTCCAGGACTTGTCCACAATTTCAGTGGGGGCTATTTTACCCTTTTCTTCCCATTCAACCCCCTTCAAAGAACATACACCAAAATGTATCTATACCTTCCCATCTAGCTCTGCCAAAATCACCATCAGCACCATCCCAGTAAATAGCTAATCAATTACAAAAACAATAAGACAAACCCTTATTGTGGTGCTTTTGAGACAAAAGAAGTCGTGTCTCAAAAGTAGTAATGTGTCATACTTGTTGACTATTTGAAGATGGAGTGTATCCACTTTATCTTGGTTAATACTGACAGTGTAGAGATTTCATTTCTGAAATACTGTGTTGGTTAGAACTGACCAAAAAGCAACCTCGGCTGCCAACAAACTTTAAATCCTGCAATGTTAAATGGCCAAAACACTACCGTAGTAATTTTTTCTTCAGTTGAATTGATCATTTTTTTGCTAGTAAGCTGGAAATTTACATGGTTCAGATTTTAATAAATGTAATACAGTTTTAGCACCAGCATACTAAGCACAGAGAGAAACCAGCAATCAGAACTCCTAGGCTCGGGGGAGAAAACACTTGATGTGATATTGCATGGCTTAGAAATGACAATCTTGAATGGTTTAAGAAGGGTTCTTACAGTTTCTGGGATGTTCCCAAAAAGTTGATTTGTAATCCCCATTTAAAAATAATAAAATTAACTTTTTTAATTTGAAAATGTAAACCAAAATAATTCCATGTTCCCCCAGGATTGTAGGCATTTTATATTAAAATTAAGTGAAAGCTTGTATTTATCTTTTAAAGCCATTCAAGATAGCAAAGTAACTGAGGAGAAAAAAATAACAGGTTACCAGAGAGAAAGTTGTAACTATTAACTTCCTCTAAAGCCAACTTTGGATCATGGGAGCATTCAGGGTCTTTATCACCCTTAGTAGTAAATTCAACACCAAGAATACATATTTTAATATTTATTTGTACATAGCAGAATAAGCCATGTGGTAAGGACTTTGTGTCTTTTATACCTTTTTGACCTACAAAGTTAGGATTATCTAACACAATGACATCCTAAATTCAGAATAAGAGAGGCAATAAAACGATTTAAAATCATATTTTGTGTCTACTTAGCCTAATATTGTCACAGTGAGATTTTGTTCTTTGTTTATTTAAAAGTTGAAGCCATGATGACCTTCTAACCATTGTATGTAAGAGGTTGTATATTTATATTTTAAAATGTCCTTCCTCTTTATAATGAAAGTTACTGAACACTGCGGTGGGTGGGCAACAGAAGCAGAGGAGAAGGTTTGTCAAGGTATTTGTATGGTGAGAAGACCAGATTAGCTCTTGCAAACATGCCAGATTCGGGGGCTATGGCTTTGTCTTTGTTCCATTTTATTCCTAGGGGAAGATGTGAAAAGAATGAAGTCCAGTCAACTTTGAATTATTGCTACAGTTTATTGTATAATTATATTAAGCTATATGGGTGGCATATGGTAAAGACAAGCTTTTGGAGACAGGAAGGTTAAGCTGCAGACTTAAAGGAGGTGCCACTTAATTAAGTCAGATATTTGGATCTGTGTTTCCAAACAGTGTTAACAAATGAGATAGCCCATAAAACAGTTGGGATGATCCAGTTAATGAATTTGAAAAGATTTTGCAAACCGTAAAGGACCATGCATGTCTGTTGCCGTTATCAGCTTTCGAGTTGTTCTTTTCTCAGTGACAAAATCATTTCCTGATCGAGTATGGATTTATCTCTGTAGCAGAATCTGCTACATATTTAGGATAGAATAGTGTGAGATTTTATAAATTGCAGCAAAATGTGACAGGCTGATTAGCAATTTTTGATGATTCTATACATTAATCACTAAGTAACCTTCGGTTTTCCAAATAAAGAGTAAAGGCTGTGGTGTGACAGTTGTAATGATCACAAAAAGAGAATTATTTAAATTCTTCACAGATGGAGAGATATCAAGGGCAAATCATTATATCTATATTTCTAATTTTAAGAAGCTTTGAGCATGATTGTGGATGGTGAGGAGCAAGCATTGTTCTGCATATAGTTTTAATCAGAACTTTCCATACCACAATCCCAAATTCACCAGGTGACTGGAGGACTTTTCAGACACTCTCTGCTAAGGAGGGAAAAATTTGTGAAAGGAAAATAATGTTATGCGACATGTAATATACAAACTGAACATATTGGAGCAGCTAGAATAGTGACCTTTCAAAAAGGACAAATTAGATTGCATGTGTCTCGGAATATAATGTGGTTTAGTGCTTAGACAATGATGATACACAACATATCCTCCCATTTCTAGCCTCATAGCAGTTTACTTTATTATTTCTAAATGAGCTGCATAACTCATTTCTTCTTCAAACAACATCATTCAACCTAATAGTCTCTGTAAACTAAATGTAGACCAGTGCTTAAGATTTTCAGTGAATGCTAAAGATATCTGAATGCTTGTCTAATGTTCCTTTAAAATATTTTCAAGCATTGGACTGTGTTCAGCCAGAAACATATGAGACAATCTGGTGCCAAATGGTCTTTGAACTTGAAGATACGGTAACATATGGAAGTACTCACTGTGGGTAACATACATACAGCCATAGGAACTGCAATCCTGTGGTCTATTCTGGCCACCGGATTTAAATGCGTTTCCCCAAATTCAGAGTTAAAGATTATATATTTCTTAAAAAACAAAATAATGCGATAAATAATTAATAATATAAGAAAATAAAAATAACTTGTTTTATGAACCCAGATATTTTCAATTTATGAAGTACAGATGTTTTCTTTATTTTTTTCTTCCTGCTTGCTTTCTAAATATTTTTAAATTAATATCTTGTTACTAACACCTGGGTTTGTAACTAATAATAGTAAATAATAGTAAAAACACTGATAAACGCAATTGTCATAATTGACAACACCATTTGTTATCATACTGAGATTTTTTTCTGTCTCCTGTATCTTCTTTTACTTTTCTTTTCTTTCTTTCTTTCTTTTTTTGTAATTTAGTTTGGAAAAGGAGATGGAAACTATTGTATAATACCAGATAAACACCACCACTAGAGGAAAATAATAAGGTTAATTTTTCAAAGGCCTCTGAAATTAATTTTTATCATCTTTTGTATAGCAACATAACAGTGAAATAGGCCAAGGCTGTCAATCATGTCAGTTGGTTTTCTGAGGCTACAGCTTCCTTCTCTGCGGGGGTGGTAGAGGTCCAGGCATGAAGTGATGGCACGGACCCTCTGCGTTACCTGCAGTTTTGTGCGGTGTCTCTGGAGCTCCTCCCAGCTCCACTGACTAGAGTGTCCTGATAGCTAGAGAGATGGGGGGGAGTCGCTTTCTACTGGTGTCTGTCCTGGAAGAGATGGAACATTAATCCGGCTCTTGAGGAAGATGGAAAAGCTGTTTGTCACATGTCCCACAGCTCTCAGACACAGTGTGGGACTTGCCCTCTGCCATGAGGCAGCAGGAACTGAAGGTGTTCAGAATGTCTCTCGCCAACATCTGCTTTGTTATTAATGCATTTTGCCTGCATCTTTAATTCGGGGTGACAGCCTCCATTAGAGGCTTTGGATGTCATCCCTCTCAGTCACCAAATACTGGCAGGTGGGGCTGTTTCCTCCCTACAGGAGTCTCAACAGTGTGCCTACCTCTGGCAGCATGTGATTCGGTGCCCTGATGGCTCCTTTTCTCCTTGCATTTGCAGCTGGCGCTACCTACATCTTCGGGAAGAGCGGAGGCCTCATCCTCTACACTTGGCCGGCCAACGACAGACCCAGCACGCGCTCAGACCGCCTTGCTGTGGGCTTCAGCACCACTGTGAAGGATGGCATCTTGGTTCGCATCGACAGCGCCCCAGGCCTCGGTGACTTCCTCCAGCTGCACATAGTGAGTACCAGGCCTCCGCCTGGATCCTCTTGTCCTCCTGGTGATCTGAGTTGGTGAGCCAGATAAGTACAGCTGAATGTTCTAGATAGACACGGCAAAGGGGTGCATGCTTATAAAAGTTGCCTACATGTGTTGCTGTCATATCCAAGGGATTGTCTGTGTGTGTTAAACCTCATTCTCCCCTTCAGTTGTGAACCATGATGCCTCTGGGGTACCTCAGGGATGAAAAATGAAAAACCTTGCCCATGGAGACTCGCATCCTAACCGTGTGCTTTGACCTGTCAGGAAACTTTGAGCAGACTGCTAGGTGTGAATAAGAGATGCACCTGGTGTGATTCATCTGAACCTGGTTTAAGCAGCAAAACCAGTTTGCACGTTCATGATCTCCTAGGCTAGGGGTCAGCAAAATATTTTATGAAGGGCCAGGTAGTAAATATTTTGGTCTTTGTGTATCATACAGTCTCTATCAGAGCTACTCCACCCCGCAGCTGTAGGCAATGTCCTTTGAGAAAGCATGTGTGACTGTGTTTCAATACAAAATATACTTATTAAAACAGGTCCATGGCTGTACTTTTGTGCCCCTGCTCTAGGCTGTGAACTTCCTCATAGAGATGTAAAGAACACGTGATTAAAAAAAAAACAAGGTCAGAGCGTGCGGGGCAGAAAGAAACAAGCACAGTGACCAACAACAGTTGGTGTGTTTGTGTGTCCTGTGTATTCAACATCAGCCCAATAGGACTGCACCCTCCGTCACTGCAGATCATTAAGAATGCAGTGCAATTCTAGGAAATTAAAATGATTTGGAGGAAAAATTACTTCATTATGAGGATAGAAAATATTTTAATAGCAACAATTAACCCATTTTATCACCTGTGCAGTCTGCAGTTAAGAAAGTAGGCTAAAGGAGGATATGATTCTCATCCGTAAGTACCCAGAGTGCAGCCACCAAGAGCAAAGAGAGGAATTGTTCTCATTAGTTAGCAGTGACAAGGCTAGAAAGAATGGATTTAATTTGGAGCAATAAGAATTCAGTTTAAATAGGAGGGGGGAAAGCAGTTAAGAGGAAAGATCAACTGGGGATTACCACCAACCTCCAAAAAGGAGGAAAAGGAACATTTGCTGGCGATCTTTGCATTCGAGTTTCGCTAATGTGCTGGCCTACCAGAGAAATCAGAGGCTGAGATTTCATTGCTGGTGTCCCAAGCGGAGGTGGCTGCCTGGCCAATACCACATACAAGCCCAGCCCTCGAGGCAGTGTCCATCTCCAGCCCCTGCTCCTCCCACTGCCTTGGAAAGAGGAGCAGCTTGAAGTTTGAAGTTTGAGCTGCAAGCCTGTCTGGTCTCAACATGAGTCAAGACTCTGGTTATGAGTTCCAGGAGCAGCCAGTTAGAAATGACCCCCTTCACCTTCAAAATGTGGTAGAAGGGTCTTGAATGGGGTTGTGAACATTTAATGCACTCTCAGATGCTTCAGCAACCATAGGGTACTATGAGTCTGAGCTTAAGCACTTTAAAAGGCCATGCCATGGAGCCCAGGGTAAGTCAGCCAGAATCATAGCAAGTATGGTTTATCTCTATTTGGCCTGGAAGAGCCACCATAATTTACAAAACTCAGTGAGATTTATGCTGCATATAACTTAATGACTAATTCATGGCGGTGATAACTAGGTGATTATCACCAGCTCACTTGCGTTTTCCTGGTGATTTATCTTCCTTTCTTGCTCAGTGTGACTTGCTGAGAAAAGTAGGATTTGGTGCAGCCACGAGCACCTTTTTTGAGAGCGATCTTGTGCTCCTACTTTGTCGGTTTCTCCAATTCCTGCTTTGTAGAGCATATCCATTTTTAAGAGGCATGTTTTCTTATTTTCTGACCGTTTCCTTGAAATGGGCACTGTTTTTATAAAGTGGATGTGAAGATTCTGGGAACTGCCAGGAGGAACCATACATTCCAAATTTTACCTCAAAATATACGGTGCTTCCTTGGGCCCTGTAGCCTTACTCCAGCGGAGCTGGCGTTGCTTAAACCTTTTAGAAAAATCTGAACTGGTTTTCTGTCCTTCAGAGCTTGGGGTAGAAAAGGATATTATCTGATTTTTTTTTTTCAGAGAGAAAAAGAAAAGAGTCCCTTTGGTGTGGAGAAACCACATGGCTCTGCACTGCACCTGAAATGTTGGCGGCTGTCTCAGGCATGAGGCCACTGTATCGGTGCAGTCGTTTCAAACCATTTTGAAATTCCCTAGTGGGTTATCTCTGGTGTCTACCAGAGATAAAAGCCATGTGACTGTGTCCAAAAAAATGTATTTATGAAAACAGGCTGCAGGCTCTATACTTTGGTGACCTCTGCCTTAGGCTACAAACTTCCTTATAAAGTTATAAAGAAAATGCCATTAAAACTGAGACCAGAGTGGGAATATAGGAATCCAAGTGGAAGACTGTAAGATTTTATTATAATACCAAGCTCTTGTGTTGGGTGTTTATACAGATGCATCAGGAAAATGAAGCCACGAATACATATTAAGATACTTTTATGTGATTTTTACAATCTGTAAAACATGGATTTGTTTATTGAATGCAGTTCGTTCCCATGCACTAAAGAAAATTATTTGAAAGGAAAGGATTTAAAGGCATTGATGAAAGTAGAGAGAGTTGGGCAGGAAGTGAAAGATTTCGTTCCCCTCTACAGTTCACCTAGGAGGGGAGAAACTCACTGGGGGGAAAAGGGAAAGGTGACGGCAGGTGTGAAGAAGAGGTGAAAGCAGGGTAAATCCTAGGGACAGGGTAGGAAAGAAAGAAGTGGGCCTGGGGAAGGGAGGACAAGAGGACAGGCTGCCTACAGATGTGGGAAAGAGGGGAGAGGAGATGGAATGAATGAATGAATGAATGAATGAATGAATGAATGGAGAGTTTGTGTTTCACAAACTGGTGCTGAAGGCAGTTCCTAGGAATTCCTAAGTGTTTTGAGTAGCAGTAACAGTGTCGTTGAAGAAGCCCCTGTGTTCCCGAGTTAGCTCATCTGAAGGAAGAGAAAACGCTGTAATGAGAACACCCTGAGCTGAGCACGCATTCCAGACGAGACCTGCCTGCGTAGGTCCCCAGAGCAAGAACAGCAAACAGGCTTCGCTTTGCTTGTCAGCTCTCGGTGCTTCTCACTCTCTCGCTTTCTCACTTTGAGCTTTACACTAGAAAGATGTGTGAGGGCAGCAGGCGAATCCAGCAAGTAGGAGTTCTGGCTTCCACTAGCCATGTCTGCCACCTGTGCAGAAATGGGACTTTGTGGAAAGACATATGCTGCCCATTTATTAACCTGTTCTGGGCTGTACATTATTCTCCACTACACACTTGAACGTCCTCATTTCTTTTCCTTTGCCATCCTGAAATCCCCACACATTAAAACTTCCTTCGGAAAATAGATACCTTGTTAAACTCACATTTCACTGGAGGCCCTTGAATCATTTCCTGACTGGTTAATGTAGTCAGTCTTATCACATGATCCTTCTCACACCAGGCGAAGGTCTGCAGCTCTAGCGGAATTTGAGTTTTGTTTGGTAAGTTAGGGAAGAGGAGGAGCAACACACATGACTCATTGGGGCACATACAGCATTTTGGGGAATGGTAGGAATACGTGGAGAATGCTTGGGTGGAATGTAGGTGTCAGTTCCCTAAGGTAAAGAACAGGTGCAAAAAAGGGGGGAGGGGCAGCAAGACAAAGTTGGCTGGGGCCTGGGCACAATGTTTTCTATATCACAGTTTGCTCAGAGTGTCTGTCGTTCCGGCTGGAGCAGCAGAGGCTCCTCTTGCTTTTGCTGGTTCCTTTTAAACCTGTCTCCCCTCTCATCTGGGCCTCATGCTGCGTAAATAGGCTTCGATAACAAGCCTTGAACAAGACTAGGACTGGATCATTATAGAAGATCAGAGAAGGCTAAGAGATCAAATAATTTAACAATTGTTTTCTTCAAATTAGTTTGCATTTCTTTGTTTTTGGTTCGTACTTCCTTGATGCACTATTTTCTGTGTCTATGATATTAGTGAAATCACACAAAAAATGTGTCTGACAAAGGCAAACAGATGTTTGTTGAAATACATGTGCATGAAATGAAATTCTGTAGGGGGCGGGGACCTTAAGGCAGAGGGATTTTTTACAAATCATTCTTTCAAATATAAGTTTCCTCCACTGAAATCTGCTGTTGAGAAATTAATCGGGCCAACACTTGGAGAGCAGCTGCTATTGTTTTAAGTGGCATCTGCCCATTTGACACCCATCTAGGCTCTATGGGGCTGTGTTACCCTCCCCTTCACTCACACAACAGGGGAAATGCTGAAGAGGACCAGAGTGCCTGCTGCTGCTGTCATGAAACTCTTGGCAACCTCCTTTCACCACTTACAACAGAAGGATGGGGAGAACTGGGCAACCACTAGCTGCTTTTCTCTACGTAGTTATTGCAGAGTGTGAAAAAGACATTCTATTAATTTCTTTCTCCCTGTGTGTAATTTACAGTAAATCCTTTTGAATTCGTTTTTTAATTATGAGCCTTTCAGGAACAGTGAAAATTTATATGTCAGGGCACCTGTTCTTGTTTGATCAGAAACTATAACCTTCCCCAATGGTTTTACTTCAGACTTATAATATAGGTTCTTAAATAAAACAAGGAGGAGACCACAAAGGACCACTGTCCAGCCTGACCACCTTTCCATAATGGCAAAGTGTGCTTCTTCTTGAACTGCCCGCCCCAGAGAGAAGGCTGAAGGCCGGTGGTGTTCTTTCAGTGTCGTGTCAGGGGAAATTGGATATTTATTAAGCTTGGTTTGCATAGTATTGCTTTTTATCATTTAGAGTATTTGAAGAGACTTCTGGAGAGTGAGGGGGAGCAGAGATGAAAATGATAAACGGTCTGCCCATCACATCTGTTGTGTCTTTGAATTGCTGGTCTAGAAGCTTCGTGGGGCCATCTCTGTGTGGGATATTTAGAATGAACCATTACCATCTGCAGGGTTCATCTTCA